CAGTACATGGCATTTCTCCTAAATTGCACCAGAAGTAAATTTGGAAGCACTTTCAGTTTGTCTTATAGGCAAATGGGAAAGAAAAACAAGTCAGACAGGCTTTCCATCTCCTTTCCAGCTCTCTGCCCTGTGTTTTATCCCCATCCGTTCACATCTCCGAGTCCACGTACATTCCATTGATCAGGTAATCCACCTGTGTGTAGTCCTTCTTTTTGTAGCTCTCATAGGCCTGCATAAGGAAGACAACTATAACAGTTATGAAAAACACTGTACCAAATAAAAGCACTGCGAGAAGCGAACTTTTGTCTACCAGGTAGTGAGTCAGAGGCTCAGCAGCAATGAGAAGATACTCCTCGTCGGTGCCCTGCGCTCCAGCAGGACCTGGAGCTCTTGTTGCAGGGGCATTTGCTGGAGCTGTGGTTGCAGGGGCATTTGCTGGAGCTGTGGTTGCAGGGGCATTTGCTGGAGCTGTGGTTGCAGGGGCATTTGCTGGAGCTGTTGTCATTTGCCCAGTAGAGGCGATGGGAGACACTGACTTTGTCTCATGTCCAGTCGTAGCTTCTGTTGCAGGTGCAGTTGTTGAAACCATTGCACTTGTAGAACTCAGAAAAGAAGTCAATTTATTCCAGGATGTTGTGGCTGTACTTCCTTCTGGCCCTGGATTTGGTGACGTGACGGTAGGTGCTGGATTACTGGAATGTGAACTCACAGAGGTAGCGAGGGCAGTAGCACGAGCAGCAGCGGTCGCTGACGCTTGGGCATCCAGCGGGGTGAGGGTGGTTGCAGTTGTGCTTGTGCTCGGTACCTGTGAGTGCCCTCCGGCCGCGGTGGCATTCCCAGGGCGGGAAGCGCTGGCTGTGCTGGGAGCTGGGCTCGAGCGCTGCTCTGGAGTCACCTGAGGGCCCGTTCCAGGCTCAGCAGTAGGGGGAGGAGAAGGGGATTCTGATACTGACCCAGCGCTCTTATTTCCTGATTTTTCCGCAGTGGTCACAAGCTTAGTGACATTATTGGTTACGGAAGCAGTGATGGTATTGTGAGTTAGAGAAGAGGCAGTGGAAAATATGGATTTAAGGGCACCACCGACAGGGGCAGTTGTAGCCTTAACACTTGTTACAGGAACTGCAGAGGAGATGGAAGCATTTGTACCGATTGTGGTTGCAGCTGCAGCAGTGCTGGCAGTGTCTGTGGTGGTGGCTGCATTGACTGCAGTTGTTTTTCCTGCATCTGCTGTTCCAGCACCACTTTCCACATTGAGCAACTGCCTTGAGTGAATCCTGACAGTCCAAGTTGTTGAGGAAAGCAGATTTTCTGTGCTGTGTTGGTCAACCACTGCATTTACTGTCTTCTCCATCTGCTCTGGATACCTCTGGTGGTGAAACAAGTCTGTTCTCCTTTTCCTAAGGACAATTTCTTTAAAAAGACAAAAACAAAGAGTTTCAAAAGAAGAATCCAATCCAAATCCAATCTCATACTTACATACAAACCAGAACAGACCTCCCGAAGATGACGCAGTAATATTGGAAAAAGCATGTCCTTAAGTCAGCAATGTCATGAAAACACAGACCCCTGTCTTTTTGGGCTACCCTTTACAGCACAGAGCTTTGGCATTTATGCAGACTGGGAATTAATTCCCAAAAGGGGTGCACTGAGCTACAGAGCAAGAACACTGAAGAATTTTCTCAACAGCAGCAGTATTACAAATGCTGATTTTACCTGTGAAAGCTCTTGAGATGACACCTCAAGCTCTCATATAGTTACATAGCACCAACATAGCCTTCATGCTTAGATTCATACTTTTTGCCTCAAATTTGACTGGAAATTTCCACTTACATCTTTATGCTTCAGAAGAATTTTCTTCAGAATTAGTGATTTGTGCTTCTAATCCCATCTACTTATCACAGGACTAGTTGCTAAGTCCCAGAGAAGCCTTTGCCAAGTCAAAAGAATCATGAACAAGCTCTACGGTTTCCCTTGTTTGATTTTTGTTTTTAAAGCTTGTATACTCTTGAAACGTACTTCAGGAGATTGATTTCCCTGCTACCAAGAAATTCCATTTTGCTATTGTGTCACTTTTAATTAACATTGAAAACTTGGGTATGGAAAGTCACAGTGAGGAACTGCTACTAACTCTGCCCTGATCATATGAGCAGTCTGCTGCCTCTGGCACAACAGTCCTGGCAATCTCAGGAAAACCAATGCTAAGGCAGTTCTCTTTCTCTGAAAGACATATCAATATCTGCTAGGCCTTTATTCTCCAAAGCACGAAGTGTAGGGTGCAAATGGCATGAATGAATGATGTCTTTAACACAGAGAGGCCAATACAAGTTACTCGCAGATACTCGTGTCTAAGTGCCAGAGTCAGAACAAAGCTAGAAGAGTAATTCTGCCAGTGGACTGTCTCTAGCTACTAAATCATCCCGCAGGCATTTCATGACCAATCAACCTTCAGCTAGGAGCTAGCCAGGGTCTAAGAGTAGGCATTTAAGGCACCAAACCTTAAATTTGCCAGGATCCTGCAGCATGACCCTACCTCCAAGCAGATCGTGGATGTCTTGTTCTCCAGCACTCTGACACACACTTAACTTGCGACACCGCAGGAGGAGGCAGCGATTCTGGTAGGGCACAGACCAATTGCAGTGGCGATTACCTAAAAAAAAAAAAAAAAGCAGAGAGCAAATAAGTGGCTAATTGAAACGGAACCCCCAAAATCCCATACGCCAGAATAACATTTACCTTAGTAGGACTATTAAAAACTATACCTGACCAAAGAACACTCCTTCCGTCAAAATCAGAAAATGGATTGTTACACAGAGCATAGTAACCACACTTTGCTTAACGGCTGTGATGCCAATAAAAACCTGAAGAATGAAAAAGCCAGCAGCTGGAAGACGGCCTTTAAAGGACTCTGACTCAAACATGGTGAAAATACGCAGAAAAGCAATCAAATCAACAGAGCAGCTTCAAGTCCATCTACGGAAATCCCTGCTTGTCTTCCTGGCAGAAACGGCCCCTAAAGAGAGCAGTTTGCTCGCACAGAGACAAAGAGACAGAACACTACGGCCTGGATAGACCTCATCTAAATCCTTGCATTATCTGAAACGTCCTCATGAGAAGAAAAAAGGAAGCCAGTTTAACCTGAGGTGACACCCATCTCTTTCCATAGGAGAGGGTTCTTATCTCAGTGTCCGGAGTTGGATGGAAATTCACTCCTCATCTGCTGTCACTGGCAGAGGTGCCATGGCAGACACTGTCTTGTAGTATGTCAGATCCCAACATGAGCTAAATCAGCTCGTGTATAAGTCACCACAGCAGGAGCCCCCTTTCCTGGCATCCCTTCTAATTTGTTAATTTGTTTCAGCATGTGTCTGCACACACACACAACCAAACTTTGATTCCCCTCTAATCAGCACTGCTGAGATGGTATCTCAAACACTGCCTCGTTTTGGGCTCCCCAACACGAGAAAACAAAAAATAGGAAAAGGAATTGACACACTGGAGTGAGTCCAGCACAGGCAACTTGGATGGCTGTGGGAGCTGGAGAACAACAGGGACAAGAAGAGCCGGAGAGGAGATGAGCCTGGGGAACAGAAGGTGAGGAGTAAACCCCATCACTGCCCCAGGCCACCTAGTAGAAGAAAGGAGCTGAAGCCCAGCTCTTGGTGATGGTGCACAGGGGCAGGGGGAGAGGCAGCCGACAAGTCGCAACACAGGAAATTCCAGATAAACATAAGGGAGAAAATGCCTCCATCCCCGAGAGGTCAAAACTAGACCAGGGGCCCAGAGAGGGTGGACACTCTGCATCAGGCATTGAGCAGCCTGATCTAAGTCAGTTCTGCTCTGAGCAGAGACCAGAGACTCGGGAAAGACCCTTCCTGCCTAAACTACACTGTGATTCTATGCACTATCTTATCAGCATATAATTAATTTCTGGTACTAGGAAGCAACACGTGCTGTAACAAGGAAACACAGGAGACAACGACACAGCGATCAGTGTGGAACGAAGCAGATGTGCGTCCAACTGGCCACCCATCCGTGGATTACGGGGGACTCGAGCGTACGATAGCAGGGGAAATTCATCTTTGCCTTGTTAGATATGTGAGAAAGGGCAGAGTACTCACACATGTGGTACACATGGCTATATTTAAAGCTCTTATCTACAAAGGCACATTACCCTCACTGAGGATTAAAGCTATAGGGAGCTTGAACTTTCCACAATAAAACATTTACATCACCACAGTTATTAAAAGTGCTTCTGGAAAATGAACTTGAGAGATCCCCCTACCACCAACTGCATTTGGCTTCGATAGCCTTTCTTTCCTAAAGAAAGTAGGCAAATGGAATTCTACTGGTTTGGGAAAAGGTTAAGCAAGTGACTGAAACCCCCTAAGAAGGGGCACGGAAAAGTCAAAAAGCAATAAAATGAAGAACTCCAACAGCTGCAGAGGGCAGGAGACAGACCAGCAGCCTTCAATAAATTAAAATGCACTTCTCATAGAAATTAATATGTTCAGATGTGCTCTTATTCCCAGCCACCTCCTTGTCCCACAAGCCATGCAAGTGCAGAACGACAGGCCGTCCGTGGTAAATCATGTCAGTTCTCCTTCGAGAAGGCAAAAACAACAACAACGCAGCAGCATTTCTTCTGTTTTGGTTTATCTAACACAGTTCAGAAAGGCAAGAAAACAATGGGGTCAGTGTGGTTAAAGCAGAACCCAGGTTCTGCTGCCATCAGGACTGTATCCAACCACCCAAGATTTCACAGTTGCTTCCCAGAATAACCAATTACCTTTTTACGGCTGAACTGAGCAGACATCCCCTTGGCACAGATCTGGATTGAGGCTCCAAGTTCTATCTCCATTGAAAGACACGTGTCACCCAGCCAGTCTCATTTTCATAGAATCATAGAATGCTTAAGGTTGGAAGGGACCTCTAGAGGTCATCTAGTCCAACCCCCCTGCACACGCAGGGTCACCTAGAGCACGTGGCACAGGACTGCATCCAAGTGGGTTTTGAAGATCTCCAGGGAAGGAGACTCCACAACCTCTCTGGGCAGCCTGTTTCAGTGCTCTGTCACCCTCACTGTTGAAAATTTTTTCCTTAAGTTCATGTGGAACTTTTGGTGCTTCAATTTGTGGCCGTTTCCTCTAGTTCTGTCAGTGGCCACCACTGAAAAGAGGCCAGCACCATCCTCCTCACTGCCTCCCTTGAGGTACTTATAGACACTGATCAGGTCCCCTCTCAGCCTTCTCTTCTCCAGGCTGAACAGGCCCAGCTCCCTCAGCCTCTCCTCA